ACATTTTAACTAACCAGCAAAAGACTCATGTCATCACATATACGTTCTAAAAAATGATGAAGATAGATTAAAGTTAGTATTAAAATTCCTGAAAGCAAACAATATAACAGTATTCAATTTTTTTATATATTTTTGTTTATATATTTACTTCTTTTTTGTTCAGAATCGAAAAAATAAATAAATAAAGGCGTTGATGATATCAGTGTATAAGGCTCTAACGAATAAATAAATATAAATTGGAATGTTGAAATCATTTGATTTGACCAAGTTAATTTGAATATGGACATATGATTTCTGAGAATCGTATTGACGCATGCGCCTGAAATAATCTACGGTCCCCTCAAATAACGAATATTAATTACCAACTAATTGAGTCCTGGCATTTGACTAGAATTAGAAAGTAGTATTAAAAATTTTCTTCCTACACCTGGAATTAAGTAGCTAATTTCGATAATTATACATCGTTGAAGGCTATCTTACCTTCCACTTGTTTTAATATTTAAGGGATTTCCTAATAGAAGCAAATGAGACGATAAATCGATTGCTAGCTAATTATGTATAAGAGACAGAGAAAGGGAAATGTGATTGCTCTATTTTTGACTCAGAAATTACATAAATTTCGGATACTTATCTCTGAGAATCAAAGGATATTCTAATGGTTTCCCCAAGAGAATCCAATCCGAATAATCCAAAAAATTTTGGAAAATTTTACATACTGAAATTATTTCATGAATAAATTCGATAACACCTTTCAGGAATTAAAAAAAATACATATTGTTTCGATATAGGGCAAGGGTCTTTATACCAAGATGCGCGGTTTACAAAATTATTTAAAAAATAGTAAAAGTTTCTCTTAAGAAGTTCACTTTGCAACTGAAATTTCATTTATGGAAATCTACCTCAGGTTTTAACAGAGTTGGTTAAGATCTTCTTTTGTAAATCGAAGTTTTCGGACAAAATTATTAAGCTGTGGGACTAATTTGTTTGTAAAATTGAACATTCTTTAATCTCTCAAACATTAACTTTGTTTTGGTGTGAAAAGAAAAAAATGGCGTGTACTTAAGACCACACATTAGAAGTGAAAACATCAACAAGATTAATAATGTGAAATATATATATATATATATTACAGTGTATATAATGTTAATTGTGTATAAATTAATCTGGTAAACTCTGCACTTACTGATCGTCATTTGTATCATAATCTAAAAATGAAACAGTGAGTTTTGTCATAACACTTCTGTAACAAGGATCAGTAATTTGTCGAAACACTATCGAGCGCAACAGAAAATGGAAACACAATTTCTTTCTTATAAGAGTAATTAAAAAAAAAAAAAAAATCTATCTTGACTTCTGTGAATTGTTTCTGAATTCTGGTATTTAAATTTTGAGACATTTTAGGCTGCATACGGGTAATTGGCCCAATGGTGGCAGACATAGGTGCATGTACTCTGATTACATTGGAAAACTGAGGGCAGCAAGAGGACGCACCACACCGGAGATGAGAAGACTGATGAGGGACAGTGAGCTAAATGGACAGAGACTTCAACTCCACGCTTGACGGCGCTAAGGAGTTTGAGTCAAAAGAAGAAGAAGATATTTTAATCCAAATGTTCAAAACATTCGTTATAATTTGGTTTATTTATCTTTATCTTTGTTATCTTTTTACATCTTAAAAATACAATTTTGATTAATATCTCATTACAAAGAGGGTGAAGTGGTGAAAATTTCCCTCGCTTACAGTACACAGGTCCGATTTTGTAGTTTCCGAGTTATTTTAATCCAGACGCTAAAATTAGTCGACTCGAGCCGAATTTACGCGAATGAGCGTTACAAAGCATGTGTCAAGAAAAATATTCAAACAGTTCATACCTAAAAGCATTATTTTTCCTATAAACATTTTTTTTTTAAAATTATTTTTCGTCAGACTTGGAGGACCATAAATATTATTTTATATTGTTGTTTTATTTTTCTTCCAGAGTAATTAACTATATTGAAAGAAAAAAAATCATAACCCAGTCAAAATTAAATTCTGGAACCACAAGAGTGAAAGCTCCATTTATGGACAGTTTGGGCTTTAAATGTAAATAATAAGCTTCCTTGTTGATTGGAAGGTTCCAGTTTTTTTACTAGATTGAAGAACAATGCCCTCTATTCACTGTGTGAACAAAGTTTCCCACCTCCCAAAAAAAATTGAAAATGCCTATCCTTGTTGTTTCTGTGGTGCTCTTGAAATCAGTGTGTTTCATATCTTCCTACTAACAGTTTTTCTAAGAGTAAGTTGAACATTTATCTTATCTTATCTTTATAGTTAAATAAACATTTATAATTTTCTGAGGTATGTCCGTTTCTGGTACCGACCCTCTGTCCATTACCAGAACATTTGGTTCTAGTGGGGTTCGCAGTGTCCATTTTTTTTTTTTTTTAAATGGAGATTATACCTGCATAACTAAATATTTTTTCGATTTTAAAATGCTAAATAGAAAAAGGAGACCCTAGATATTCTAAATGTCCAACTGAGAAGTTTATAACTATAATTTGTACGACAGCATAAGCCAGAAAAGACAAAACTTTCCTTGGCTATGTCCTAGTTTTCTAAATTTTCTTACCCTAACTGCATTTAATGTACATTTATAATATAAGTTTTTTCCCACAATATCTCTTTGAAGCTAAGCGATCTAACAAGGTTGCTGAAGTTGTTTTGTTCTGAAACGGGGTCTTGTTCAGATTAGGCCCGCCAGAGATTTTAAAAAGATATTTATTCAAAGTTGTTATGAAACTTGATACTATTGATATAGAAATAAAATAACATGTTTAAATATTATGTAATTTAGTATTGTTTGTGTAATTGCGGTTATAAAGTGATAACACGATGAATATTTTTGAAGTTTACTATTTATGAAAAGAAAAGAAACGAGCCAGGATTTTCTTTGAAGAAAGAGGGATTTTACCTAAGGAAAGCTATTGAAAAAAAGGCCAAATTATGAAAAGTGAAACACATTACGAAGATAAGAAGAAATATGTTAATGTTTTTATTTATGTATATATAGTTCTTATTAAGTAAATCATATGTTTCTTTAGCCTATATTTTTTAATTTATCAATAAGTAACTGTTACTAGATAAAAAAACTGGCGGGCCTAATCTAAACAAGACCCCTGAAACGTAATCAAAAGCTCTGGTGAATTTGCTGACAATAACGAAACTGGATTCAGGCCAATAGGGCAATTCTTATCAAAGATTATAAGGATTGCGCTCGATATTTAAATACAAAGAATGCATCGTATTTAAATAAATAATAAGTGGAATGACAATATAAGGTAATTTATAAACAGGTAGATATCCAAACATTTCGTTCAATATAAGAAGAATTAGTTAATTTCATATAAATTTCTCAATCAGCTCGGTGAAACATATTTTAACTAAAAATGAGAAGACATAACGCTATTGACTTAGTGGCCACATTAGATATATTTGACACTAAATTATCTGTTATTAAAATTTAAAAATATGTAAATATAATATATTTTTCTCGTTTGCGTTTGTTGACAACTGTTAGAGATCACAGACACACTTCGTGAATATTTAAATACAAATTAGAAGTCACCTTGAATTCTGTATAATATTTCTAGTATACCTAATGAAGAAAAACAAATGTTTTGTGTAACATTAAAGTTTGTTCTTTACTAAAATAGCAATAATAAATTTTCATCATAAACTGTCATAACCTTAGCTCCGATTTACAATATGTACATGAAATGTATTTTAAAAATAAAATATTAAATGACAAAGATTATAATTAAATGAAAAATAATTAAATTTAAAAATTTTCAAATAATTGTTTAATAATCTGAAAAATAGAGGTTTTTATAAACACTACTTTATTCATGCAGAGCCCCCAAGACCATTTGGAGACAGTGACGAATTTACATTGAGAAATAAAAAAAAATACATATATATTCTGTTTATAAAAACAATAAAGTTTTCCTGTGATTATATGTGAATTTCGTCAATATATTAATTATTCTATTTAAATATAAAACTTAATAGAAATAACATATAAAGTATTGATAGCGTCGGATGATAATACGATAAGACACTTTACTACCAGAGTGTTTTTTTTATTTATTTATATGAGCTTTATAAATTATAATGAAGTATAAATATGTATATAAATAATAAAAAGTATGGGCTTAATATAGTATAAAAAGGATATGCTGCTATTTTTCTTAACATAATGCAATATTTGTTATTTAGTAAAATTCAGTTGTTAACATGATTCTTAGTAAAAACAGATACTTTTTAATTTTTCTTATTAAAATAATGTTTTATATTGGTTTTAACAGTAAATTTACAGTTAAAAAACTTCATAAATAGAACAAATAAGTTTTTAAAAAGAGGTAAGGCAGAAAATAAATAAGAGAGTGCTAGATGATAAAGAAAGCAATTACTTTGATGCATTGACATTTGTGTTACTGATAATTAACATCTACAGTTTTAGTTCGTATTTTAATCTTTGAAGCTTTTGTATATTTGTGTTGAATTTTTTTTTCTATGATTGAATTTATTCAATAACTATAATATTCCTTGTAAACTATTTTATTAGTTTTAAGACTATATTAATGTGTAATAGGAAGTATAGCGATTGTTAATCCATTTTTCTTCAAACTTTTTATAATATATGCGATGAAGTCTAAAATATTTTTTTTAATTAAATAAAAAAAATATAAAATTATAATTAAAAAATTAACAAAAAATCAAAGTAAATTAATAACAATAATTGATGAAGGAAATTTTTAAATAGTTGGGTTTATATGTGTGTATATGTGGGTTTATATGTGTGTATGTGTTAGGATTGATAGATGTACTAATGGATTTTATTATCTGTTATGTTGTTGTGAGTTAGTTAAGGATATTTGTGAAACTAAATTTCATCAAAACTGGAGCAAGAAAGCCATCAAATTAACCCACCCAGCCTTGAAGTGAAATAGAGCTTGCTTACCTTCAACATGCCGATATCTCTAACTGCACTCAGGATAGACACACACACTACTACACTGTCAAGACGACAGACCGACCAGGACTGACTAGCCGACTGGCGAAGAAGTGGAGGGGATGTCCTCTGTACACAATGGACGTGTGCCGCAGATGGGGTACAGCTGGCTCCTTCCATATTGTACCTCTCAGCTGCACCACCTGGGCCTTAAAGGGATCAGCATCTGTGTCTGATGTTCTGCTTCATAGGGGAGTGTTTAAATGGACCAACACTAAACTTAATGTGTAACCGTAGGGTAGGCAGTATAAGTGGACACTGAAGCTCAAAATGCTGCCTTATCTTGGGCCTCACGATGGAAACAAATTGAACGATTGTACTGGCATGTAGCAGCTATCTGAAATTATAGGCAATTATTGTGTTAAAGGATTGTTCTAAAAAGTTAGCGATCGTTGTTTTACTTATTTAGAAAACACTTCACATATTTATGTAAACAAGAATATTTATGTTCCCTTAATTTGTAGTTCGGATTCGTTTCTATTTTTTAGACATATAATAATAGTACGTTTGGAGCTAGATAAGTTAAGAGGGAGATGCCAAAACCTCAAGTGGTATCACTCCACAACAACCGATTGGTTGTTTTTTTAAATTTAATTTTTAATGGAGCAAGATTGGATCTTTGTTTCAGGGATGTTTCCTTATCACTTTTCTTTAGGAGATTAATTAAAAATTTTGATTCATTCATCTTTAGTTTGCCATTTACTTTTCTAAAACTCTGAGTAATTTATTTTGGGTATTTTAATTATATAAAAAATCATCAACCTGGGGCCTATTACTGATGCAAAATACGCTTTCAGAACTTCATAGGTTTTTAATGAATAATAAACTAGTTGACTGTATTAGAGTTGATTGTAGTACAGACCTCTTTTTTTACCAAATTATTAACATCCGCCTGAAACATAGTGAATAGCTTCATCTCATCGTAACCAACAACTTTTATTTACGAACATTCTCTGACATGGGGCGTTTTTAATCCGAAGATCGGCAAACTTCGTCCATTTAATTATCTATTAAAAGCTCATGAACACCTATTCATTAGCTTTTCACTCAAATAGTAAGATAATTCAATCACAAAATCGAGAAAAAAGGTAGCCCACAAAAATATCTGACAGTTTAATGTGATATCAACTCCCAACATGTCAAAATAAAAATAGTCCACTCTATAGACCCTTTTTTACCAAATTATTAACATCCGCCTGAAACATAGTGAATAGCTTCATCTCATCGTAACCAACAACTTTTATTTACGAACATTCTCTTCACGGATTGAAAACAAACGGACATGGAACGTTTTCAATCCGAAGATCGGCAAACTTCGTCCATTTAATTATCTATTAAAAACTCATGAACACCTATTCATTAGCTTTTCACTCAAATAGTAAGATAATTCAATCACAAAATCGAGAAAAAAGGTAGCCCACAAAAATATCTGACAGTTTAATGTGATATCAACTCCCAACATGTCAAAATAAAAATAGTCCACTCTATAGACCCTTTTTTACCAAATTATTAACATCCGCCTGAAACATCGTGAATAGCTTCATCTCATCGTAACCAACAAATTTTATTTACGAACATTCTCGGACATGGGGCGTTTTTAATCCGAAGATCGGCAAACTTCGTCCATTTAATTATCTATTAAAAACTCATGAACACCTATTCATTAGCTTTTCACTCAAATAGTAAGATAATTCAATCACAAAATCGAGAAAAAAGGTAGCCCACAAAAATTTTCGGACATTTTAATGTGATATCAACTCCAAACATGTCAAAATAGAAATAGTCCACTCTACAGACCTCTATTTATCAAATTATTAACATGCACCAGAAACATCGTAAATAGCTTCATCTCATCGCAACTTACAAATATTTTATTTATTTAAATTCTCATAATTTGACCAACTTTGTCTATTTAATTAGGTACTGAAAACAAGTAAATACCCACATGCTTTCTACTTAAGTCGATAAAAGATAATTTGATCACAAAAAGATGAAAAAAAATCAAAAATATTGGGCCGTTTGACCTATATAACCTCGTTATTTTGATAATTTTGGGGTGTAGATCATGCCAGACGGCTCAATATTTTTTAAGACCACCTTTTTTTCTCGAATTATTACTCAAGTTATTTCACAAATTCAAGTGGAAATCAAATAGGTATTTACGAGTTTTTAGTACCTAATTAAATTTAAAAAAATCAATAGACAAAAATTCCCGACATCCTGATTGAAAACGCCACACTTCCAAGAATTTTCGATAATAAAATATTTGTAGATTACAATGAGATAATGAATGCTCTTTACAATGTTTCAGACGGATGTTAATAATATGATAAAAAGGGGTCTGTACCACAGACAATAAGGTTATAGTCGCCAAACAGCCCAATATTTTTGTAGGGTACATTTTTATTCGATTTTGGGATGAAATTATCCTCCGACTCAAGTGGAAAGTAAACAAATATTCTCGAATTTTCAGTACCACATTAAATTAATTTATTTAATGATAAAACGCCCCATTTTTGAGAAATTTCGTAGATGAAAAAATTGTAGGTTACGATATCAGGCTTATATTATGTTTTAGGCGGATATTAATAATTTGTTAAAAAGAGACAAGGATATTAATTAGTCATTTTTATCAGAGCTCAAGAACTGGATGTAAAAAAACAATAATAATAAGTTCAATAAGAACTAGTAAATGAAAGAAGTGTACACATGAATTCCAAAACCAATAATTATTCGAAAACATTAGACTCCCGCTTATCGGTTGTTGCCGGAACTGAGACTTTGTCCGATAAGGAGAATGGCTTCTTAGTTGATATGAAGTGTATAAAAAAAAAAAATAATAATAATTTAAGTTATAATAACATAAATACAATACAAAAATTATATAATTATATACAATACAAAAACTAATCTGAACGGCTTAGGTATATTGATATGATTGATGTTTATTCTAGATACATTATTGAAGTACCAAAGTTTCTACATTAAAAACAAATAAAATTAAATAAATTAAAACTCATAACAAAAGCACCTTGATACGTGACTCATAATACTATACATACTGACCCCTATCTTCCAACAGTTGACCAACATATAAAGATCCTTTATAAACAATTTTAAATTAATTTAATCGGATATAATAACATACTGATAAGAGACATGGCCACAGCTGGCATACCACAGAATATGAGGAGGAGACTAAGAAGCCGTTTGATGAGAGATCGTCCTTAAACCACCTAAGTAAATGAAACAAGTTAGGGAAGATGTGCTACTATCCTTCCCAAGCCTATCGTTTCATTATTTGCGAGTCACGTATCAAGGTGCTTTTGTTATGAGTTTTAATTTTAATTTAATTTTTTTTTTACCATGTATGTGTGATTATAGCGCCTCTGCTCAGCCTCTACTGGTCTTTAATTTAATACTGGTCTAAGTATATACTACGTGTAGTAAAATATAAAATATTGGAAGGAAAATATCTATATTTCGATAATATCAACCATGGCCATCCCTATTTAAAACCCTGTATTTTTCGGAACTCTAAAGTTTAGGAATTTTTAGCTGCCGTGATATTCATTATTTTTCTAATGGTTAATTACAATTATTATTAAAAATCAAAGAACATTGTTAGGAAATATTGAAAACTATATATGGTAGTTTGATAAATTGCACTTTAAATTTATTTAAATATTAATTACATTGTAGGCTGTTATTTAAGAATGAATGTGTTTATTTTAGAATTTAATACAAGTACAAATTGTAAAAATTGTGAATGATTTTGTAACTGTCCAAAACTGATTGAAGCTTCTCTAAACTGGATACTTGAACAGACTTTTTTTATGTCGATGGACTGTGTATATTTAATATTATTTATTACATTATAATTTATATTTAAATTATGTAATTTCAATTATTTGCGGTAAAAGTAAAACGTTAAGATAATTAATTTCAATTAAATAAAATAATTTAAAATATTGCCTATCGCTATATAGCATGAGTAATATGATTTATATGATTGCCTGGTTTATTTGATTTAAAATAAAATTGACTGAGAACTAATGAACAGAAAATAACAAGATCTTAAATTAAGAGAAATAAATATATATATTTATTGTGGTTATTTAAATGAAAATCAAAACCAGAATTTTCGCAGTTCATTTAGATATCATAACAAACTTAAATGAAATAACAGCACAGTGATGATTTGATTTCGAATTTTACAAATATCATTATAGATTATAATTGTGCTACCCTTTTTTTTTAAATGAATAAACCCGAAATTCTATGCATTTAAAATAATTTTGAACTTAATGTAACGTATTACTGAAGCGTTATTAATTCAGAAGATTGAGAAGTTACAATGGATAAGAGGAAAATGACAGACCTAATTAAACATAATAGCTTTTGAAATTCTTGGAATAGAACAAATCTAAAAAATTTATCAATATGAGGACTAGATTAGATTTCTATATTTACATTTTTAAATACAAGTTTAAATATTTCTCACTTTCCCTTTGTCTGGGAAAAAGAACTTAATTTTTAAACAGACGTTTCTTTCAGTCACTTAAGTCTTTTTATCTTGATTGTATGAGGGTTTTTTTTTTTTTTTTTTTTTTGTATTTTAATTTCTTTTGTGAATTTTCTCTGAATCTATCTCTAAAGACCATTACCGTGAAAATACTTGTTTGAAAGCGTTGACTGCCTTTGACAACTCTGGTTCTTGTTAAATCGTTGACTTTTCCCTAATAGAGAAGGCTCTTTTAAATTTCTGATGAATTTCAATGCTGCTAAAAATATTAATAACCTTTATGGTTCCCTTTATCTTGTTATATTTGTTAATTTGATACGTGATTTTTAACGTAATTATTATTTTTTTTACTGAGGTTCACTTATTTGTGATAATGTTTATTGTTACTAGCTTAAAAACGATCAATTATATTATTCATAATGATGAAAAATATAATGAAACTTAGCACTGAGCCCTGTATGACCTCTTGTCAGTGATCTTTAATTAGTCGATATTAAATCTCGTAT